GTAACAAAGCAGGTGGAACTTCTTGGGGTGGGGTGGAAGTGAAAAGACAGACGATAAAATAAATCAGCAAAATCTACAGTTAGAATAGATGGTGTCATGGAAAAAGATAAAGGAGGGGAGGTGGATAGGAAGGGGCACTGCAGTTTTAATAGGGTGGACAAGGAGGGCCTTTAGACATGAGTATGACTGGCCTGTTCAAGGAGCAGCTGGGAGGCCAGCATGGCTGCAGCATAATGAGTACCAGGGAGAGAAAGTCAGAGAGGTAACTGGGCAGACTGGCCGAGGGCTTGAAAGTCATAGTAATGACTTCAACTTTTATTCTGAGAGTGCCCAGGAGTCACTGAGGGGGCTTTAAGGAGAAGGGTGATGTGATCTACCCGATGTTTTAACAGGATCACTCTGGTAGCATGCAGAGAATGGGTGGGTTTGGAAGGGAAGATCAGGGTTAAGTATGAGATGACTGTTAAGACAATGAGTAGAGTAGACAGTTGAATATATGAGTCTGGACTTCAAGAGAAAGGTGGGGGCTAGAGATACAGATTTGGGAGTATTTACCATTTAGAGGGTATCTAAAGCCACAAGACTAGATGAGATCCAAGGGAGTGAGTGTAAACACAGAAGAAAAATGGTCCAAGGACCTTCCTTTGGGGCACCACTCTATTGTTAAGAGAACAAGAAGATGGAAAAGAGGCACCAATGGAGACAAGCAGGAGCAGCCAGTGAGGTAGGAGGAAAATTAGGAGAGCATGATCTCCTGGCAGGCAAGTGAAGAAAGTATTTGAAGGTAAAGGGAGCAATTAACTGTGTAAATGTGGCTAAGAGTTCAAAAAGGATGAGACTCAGAATAAACCGCTGGACTGAGCAACGTGGAGGTCATTGGTGAACTTGAGAGGAGCAGTTTTGGTGGAGTGGTTGGGGATGAAAACTTGACTGAAGTGGGTTGAAGAGAAATGGGAGGCAAAATTTAGAACAGCAAGTATCGTTAACTTTTTCAAGGCGTTTTTGATGTGAAGGGAAACAAAAATCAACAATAGCTTGAGAGGGAAGTAAGGTCAAGAGAGAGGTTATTGTTGTTTTAAGATAGGAGAAATAATGGCACGTTTCTGTGCTGATGGAGTAATGACCATGAGCAGGTTGTGAATGATGATGAGATCCAGTGGCCTTAAACAGGAGCAGGAACAATTCATCATTAGTAAGATGAGGGGTAGGGTATATGGGGATGCAGTTGCTGGTAAGTGGGAGATGTGGTGGTGGGAGCTTGTGAAAGTTCTCCCATAATTACTTCTATTTTCTCAGTGACCTAGGAAGCAAGATCATCAAGGAGGATGGGGGAAGAAGTAACAGGGTTATGCACAGTACTTTTTCTATATGTTAGCATCTACCATCAAGTGGGAGAATGTGACAAGGTCTGAATCACTGGTATGGATGAGTTACTGAACTTCCATTCAAGTTTAGCATGAGCTAATGGAATAGTCTAGTCAGAGTGGTTTATTCTATCTCCTGGCCACAAGTAGCTGTCACAGGTAGCTCTTATAAGTAGATACAATAGCAGCTGTCTGACTGGTGCAATTGGAAGGCTTTGGGAAGCACCCACTGGCTTTTCAGTGGACTTCACAATGACCCTGGGAGAAATTCATTTC